ATAACCCCTCCTCAAACTAGAAGGACCTCCATGTCTTACTGAGGTTCAAATTCTGTCATTGTGCGTGCAGCAGCAAAATGGTAACACCAAATGTCAGTGGCAGCTTCAAATCCTTTCAAACAACATGAAGCCGAAGCAGAACCTCAGCAAATGCTTGTGACTCAAAGGACTGAGAATTCCCAATTCCCAGACACCAACGTTCAAAGCCAAGATCACATATGACACGCACTAAAACGTGAAGCCTTTCCAAACAGGAAGACGGCCCTTACCTGTATCTTTCTCTTTACGTAGAATCCTGACTGCCAATCACAAGAGGGCGAGAACGTCTAAAAGGCTCCTCACCACCCACATCCACTCCTGAGCCATTGCTGAATCTGTGAAGATGGATGAGATGTGTAAGTGTAATGGCTCAAGGATGATGTCATCTCTAACAGGTACCCCTGACCTCCACAGAGAAGTACCGCAGACATCCAGATCACCTATTACCTCCTGTCATCACTTACTTTCCTTCCAAGAGCTTCTTTCCATCTTAGAAAGTCTAAAGTTCCACCACGTGTTACTCAGCCCACTTTTCTCATGGAAATACAATACAAGCACCATGACAAATGGCGCTCCTGACTGCAGATTCTTAAAAGCAGGGGGCAGAAAAGTCAACACAGCTCTTCACTGTCACAGATCCTCTGCCTGGAATGGGGAAGGAATGACATTTTGTGTCATCTCTGTAATGTGCCAGCTCTCTGCCACACCATCTTGAGGAGACATTCGTTGTTCTGCAGCCACAACAAAAAGTGACTTCTCCCTATTTCTCTGATATTCTTATCCTCAATATCCTTATAAAGACTGAGTGCTTGGGGCCAGTACTGTGTGCACAGTTGGTTAAGCCACCATCTGCAGCACCAGCATCCCATACGGGTGCCAGTTCAAGTCCCAGCTGCTCCACTTCTGATCCAGCTCCCTGCAAATGTGCCCAGAACAGCATGGAAAGGGAAAAATTCAGGGAAGGGGAAGGACTGGCATGAAACAGATATGAGTGACACAGTGTCAAGGTGTTCACACCTGTAGGATGTCCCCGCCCCCCATCCTGCACCGAAGTCCCCTGTCCACTGTGTGCTGAGACCCTGGGTGTTGCCCCAGTAGGAGTTAAAGCGCATCTCTTTTCAGGTTCTCCCAACCAAGCTCTGGTTTTCCAGGTCCTCTGAGATCCTTTTTCTCCTTCACAAGTCGGGGGGAACTCAGACTGTAGAAATCACTTGCCTTTTTCCCTCTTTGCCAACATCCAAGACACTGGCCACCAAAATGTCTCCCAGGAATGGACACCTTGGTTACCCAGAAAAAAAAAACTATGTTCTAAGGAGTTAGGTCTTGAGATGAGGTTACAGCAGGAGACTCCACTCAGGGTCAGGGCATCCAGTTGCCTGTGTGATCAGCCCCATCCTCATCCCTCAGCCTGACCTTGGAAGGAGTGACAAGGTGCTGACACTGACTACACACAGCCAAGACAGCTGAGGGCATCTTGGGTCAACCCCCCAGACAGTTGTGAAACTGGAAATGACAGAGGGCTAGGAACAAGTCATGGAGCCACATAAGGTGGCCAAAGGGGAATCGCAATTAAAGACATTCTGAATTGGAATCAATTCAATCCCATCAAGGTGGCATGTACCAATGCCATCTCACTATTCCAAGTGATCAATTTCAGTTCACAATTGATCATAATGAAAGGACTAAGAGTCAAAGGGAGCACATAAACAAGTCTAGTACCTGCTAACACTAACCGATAGAATAAATAAAGGGGAGAGTGATCCAACATGGGAAGTGAGATACTCAGCAGACTCATAGAATGGCAGATGTCCTAAATAGCACTCTGGCCTCAGAATCAGCCCTAAAGGCATTCGGATCTGGCTGAAAAGCCCATGAGAGTATTTCAGGCATGGAAAGCCAAGACACTCTGGCAAAAAGATCTCTGTGAGTGAGATCCCAGTGGACAGAACAGGTCTTCAAAGAAGGAGGTACCTTTCTCTGAAGGGAGGAGAGAACCTCCACTTTGACTATGACCTTGTCTAAACAAGATAAGAGTCGGAGAACTCAGAGGGCTTCCATAGCCTTGGAAACTCATGACTGGTGCATAGGGAGATTACTGATGCCAGACTGGAGTGTCAATTGGTAAAGTCAACAACAGGAGTCACTGTGCACTTACTCCTCATGTAGGATCTCTGTCCTTAATGTGCTGTGCATTGAGATTTAATGCTATAACGAGTACTCAAACAGTATATTTCACTTTGTGTTTCTATGGGGGTGCAAACTGTTGAAATCTTTACTTAATGTATACTAAACTGATCCTCTGTAAAAAAAAAAAAAAAAAAAGAAAGAAAAGAAATTCTCAACTCCCAACTTGACTCTCACTGGGATTAAACATGACAATAGGTCTGATCTGATTTCATCATCATTTAAAAAAAATCATCTATTATTTTTCACTTTATGTTTCTGTGTGGGAGCAAACTGTTGAAATCCTTACTTAATGTATACTAAGCAGATCTTCTGTATATTAAGATAATCGAAAATGAATCTTGATGTGAATGGAAGGGGAGAGGGAGTGGGAAAGGGGAGGGTTGTGGGTGGGAGGGATGGTATGGGGGGGAAGCCATTGTAATCCATAAGCTGTACTTTGAAAATTTATATTCATTATATAAAAGTTAAAAAAAAAGAAATCTTTAAAAAAATAACAAAATTAAAAAAAAAGACATTCTGATGTCTACACTTGGGGTCAGCCCCATGGCATAGTGGGTAAAGCCACCACCTGGACCACTGGTTCAAATCCTGGCTGCTCCAGTTGCAGTCCAGCTCCTTGCTAACACACCTGGGCAAGCAGTGGATGATGTCCCAAGTGCTTGGGCCCCTGCACCCACGTGAGAGACCTGGATGGAGATCCCTGGATGGTGTCTGCTATTAGCAAACATTAAATTAAAAAAAAAAATGGCCACGGCACACTAGAAGGGTGATGCTGAGGTCAGCGTGCCCCCCGGCCGCCCCGCAGAGCCCTCCCTCCACGACCCTGCCCACGTCACCACACAACCCGAGGAGGAGGCGGGTCTCAGGGCCCGGGGCGGGGCCAGGCTGAAGTCTCCGCACGCAGCGACAGAAAACGACGCCCGAGGGTCTCCGCTGGGGCCCAGCCCCACCCTCCCAGGGAGGAAGGCCCTGAGGGCCAGGCTGGGGCCCGCGGCCCCACAGCCCCGCGTTCACCCTCGCAGAGTCCCTGCCCTCGGAAACTCACCCTTCCCAGCCTCCCGGCGGCCCCCCGCGGGTCAGGCCTCGAAGTCCCCGCAGCGGCGGCCGTTGACCCGGCACGGAAGGCGGGGGCAACACGCGGCTCTGAGAAACCGCCAGCAGGGCGCGCGCCCCGGCGGGGAGCCGGCTGCCCTACGTGGCGCACAGCCCCGCCCTCCCGTCCCTAATTGGTCGGCGAGTCAGGACCCGCCCCCGCTGAGGCTTGACTGACAGGGAAGCGGTCCTCTACATGGCGGAGTGGAGCAGAAATGGCCTTCCAGATCGGACAGCGGCTTCTTCCTGTGCCCAGTGGCCCCTTCCTGCGCCCAGTGACCCCTTCCTGCCTCCTCCTCCTGGAACTGGAATCATCACAAGGGTGACCAGGGCATCCCGGGCTCCCTGTGATCTTGCAGAAGGAGGGCGCCCTTCTCAGCAAGAGGAAATAATCCAGCGTTGGAGGGCCAAATGTATAAACCCAATATGAATGGAAATTAAAAAAAAAGAGCTAGAGTCTAACAATAAAAGTAGGGCGTTTCACACCTCCCGTGCAGCAATGGACACATCACCCAGGCAAAAAACAACAACAACAACAACAAAAAACAACAACAACAACAGCAACAACACCAGGGGCCGGCGCTGTGGGGTAGTGGGCTAAGCCTCCACCTGCAGTGCTGGAATCCCATAAGGGCGCTGGTTCAAGACCGGCTGCTCCACTTCTGATCCAGCTCTCTGCTATGGCCTGGGAAAGCAGTAGAAGATGGCCCAAATCCTTGACCCATGCACCCACGTGGGAGACCCAGAGGGAGCTCCTGGTTCCTGGCTTCAGATTGGCCCAGCTCCAGCCATTGCAGCCATCTGGGGAGTAAACTAGTGGATGGAAGAACTCTCTTTAGTAAGAAGTGAAAGATCTATAGGATCTGAAGAGAAACCAGAGTATGGAAGAACTCTGCCTCTCAGATAAATAAATAAAATCTTTAAATAAAAAAAGCAAATTATGCCCCAAATGGATGTGTAGAGACCTACATAACATTCCATCTAGGCAGCTGCGGAATAACCAATCTTATCAACAGCACTGGAAAATTACTCAGAATAGATTGTGTGAGAGGAAAGAAAAATATATTTATAACTTTTCAATACTGAAATTGCTAGCCGTCAAAATCACCAGGCCCTTGCTGCTCACCACTGGACAGCCAATTCACCAGAGATGAGCGTCAGTAAGAGAAAAGAGTTTATTTCAAGAAGCCAGCAGGCTTGGGAAGTGATCTCTGGATCCAAAACGTGCCCCCCCCCCACACCAATCCAGCAAAAAGGTTTTTTAACAGTTATCTGAAAGGCAGAGATACAGACAGAAATCTTCCATCTGCTGATTCACTCTCCAAATGGCTGCAACAGCTGGGGCTGGGCTAGGCCAAAGGCAAGAGCTTCTTCTGCATCTCCCACATGGGTGGCAGGGGCCCAAGGGTTTGGGCCACCTTCCGCTGCTATCCCAAGTGCAATAGCAGGGTGCCAGATCAGAAGTGGAGCAGCCAGGACTCAAACCGGCACTCATACAGGATACCACAGCTGCTGGCAGTGCTTAACCTTCTACACCACAGTGCCAGACCCAGAAAGGGTTTTAAAGGGACGGAGTAGCTGCAGCTGGAGGTTAAGAAAAAACCAATGAGTTCAGTCAGTTGACAATCAAGCAGATCCTCAGACTCTGTTGAGACCATGGTCCATGCGAGAGACCCAGGGCATCAGCCAGGTGGAGGCTTCCTGACGATGGAGTTCAGCTGTCCAGAGATGATGGCTGCACACTTTCTCCTTAGCTGGGAAGTGGCATCTGCCACACCAAGCCCTCTCCTCTCAGTAGGCTCCTGAAACTCAGGCAGATACCACCCCTCCCAAGACAAGCCACAGGTCACCCACAAGATCAGTTAAAATATGGAAACGGAAGGGAAGATGCCTTCATGGCGGCTGCGAAATCTCACCCAGTATCTTCTGTCACAGCAGAATTAAACTGGGCGAAGGTGGCACTAACACCCACACTCCTCTTTGGGTGTGCATGTCTCGAGATCGTCCAGCAAGCTACAGATTTTGAGCACATGATAGAGTTTATAACTTGTTCCCAGGCCTGAATGCTCAACCCACACAACCTACTGCTCATGGGCTGAACCCACTTGGGAATCTGAAGCCCCGAGCCTGGATCTGCCCAGGTTCTTCAAGTTCTATACTGGATCCTGGCCCACATTCCCACGCCTCATACATCGCCCCAGCTACCAGCCCCAGGCAGGAGCCCACCCCTCCCACGCTAGGTGCCCACTGGTATTTAGTGTCCACTTGAGCCTGGAGGCACTGGCCTGGGGCTGGTTGGTGGCCGGCATGGTCTTCTGCAGGCAGGTGATAGTGCAGGTGGAGAACAGGTTCTGTGGGAACAGTGGACGGGATCCAATCAGTGGGAGCCAAGCTGGCTCCCCCAACCCTGTTTCGTCTCTCTCGCACCCATTTCCCGTCTGTTTCCCACCTCTGCTCTCCTTACCTGTAAATCCAAGGTCACGGGGGAACTCAAGTTCCAGCCAGAGTCCTCCCCACTGGCGAACTGGTGCTCCAAGCGCAGCAGCGTCCCTAGGCCCCAGCGGGCCAGGGTGAGCAGGTGCATGGAGGGCGGGAGCTCCTGGCGCAGCCCTGAGAACTGCAGGGAGACGGAGGCGGGGCTGAGTCAGAGAGGGGCAGGGCTTGTGGAGGAGGGGCAGGGCACAGCTGAAAAGAGTGGGAAGAATCCTGGAGAACTGAGCCAATGAGGGGAACGGGATGATCCAAAATTGTACAGTACAGGTGCAAGCCCGGAAGTGAACAGGCCAGAAGCTGGAACCACAGGGGTGAAGGGGTGGGGCCAGATGAGTAAAATAAGGGGACAGCTAGGCGGGCAACAGGACCTGGGTGAAGAGAGATGGGGCCGGACGAAGACAAGCAGGAGGTGAAGGGGCGGGAGCTCGGGCTGTACCTAGCTTTTAAGGTCCAGTGGGGTGGCACCCAAGCAACCTGCTCATCTCACTGGCCCTCACCTGTGTGCACACGGCAGCTCTAGGATTGTACCGGGCACCACCCCCCAGCGCCAGCACCACCTGTGGCGCCAGGACCTCCTTCTTCGCCAGCAGCAGGTGCCCTGCAGCCACCGTGCCCACCGCGTCCAGCAGCACGAGGTGGCGCACCCGCACCCACGACCCCGACTTCTCCTCTAGCCACGGCTCCCTCAGGCCATGTCTGTTATCTTTCAGCAGCCTTCGGTGCACCTGGGGGGAGTGGCCAGCAGAGGGTGAGAGTCCAGCAGTATCCTTGTCCAAAGTCCTGAGGGACTTGGTGGGAGGACTCTACCGTGGCTGGAGCTCCCCTACGCCCACTCACCATGAGCTCCAGGGAGCCGTCCCGCAGGCTGCTGCCCCCCTGTAAGCAGTCTGTCAGCACCATCAGCTGCTTCTTCCTGTCCTGGGTGGGGGTTGGGGCAGGGGTGAGTGTGAGGGCGGGGTGGGAAGCCAGCCCCAGCCCCAGGCACTTCAGAGATGCCGCCATTGAGGGGCACTCCATATTCACACCATCAGCCAGCGCCCCCACCCCTGGGCCCCACACATCACCCCGGCCCCACAGGTGTCCTGCATCCTGTCACCTCCTCTTCAGGATCTCCCGGCAATTACTGACTTTGCAGAAGTAGCCCTTGGTGTCAAGCAGTGTGTTGAAGTGACTGATCACTTCCTTCCCCCAGTTGTCACTGTACCCAATGGGGCAGCAAGCTCGTGAGCCTCATCTAAACTCACTCTGGGCAGTGGTGTTGGGGGCAGTGGCTAAGACGCCAGTTGGGACACCACCACCCGTATCACAGTGCCCGGGCCTGAGTCCCAGCTGTGCTCCTGCTTCCTGCCTCTGTTGATGCAGACCCTGAGAGACAGGCAGTGACAGTGACAGCCCTGCCACCCCCACAGGGGACCAGGTTGAGCTCCCAGCTCCAAGCTTCCTCCTGGCCCAGCATCTGGGGAGTGAAAAAGCAGAAGGAAGAAATCTGCCTACAGGGCTCTCAGGGAACCAGTGGAATGGAGAGCTCTTTCTGTCACTCTCTCTGTCTCTCTCCATTTGGAATTACATAAATAAGTTTTAAAGATTTTTATTTTTTATTTATTGGCAGAGTGACAGAGAGAAAGGTATCTTTTATCCACCAGTTCATTTCCCAAATGAGCATAATGGTCAGGCATAGGCCAGGCTAAGCCAGGAGCCCAGAACTCCTTCTGGGTCTCTCACATGGATGGCAGGTGGTCAAATACTTGACATATTCTGCTGCTTTCCTAGAAATGTTAGAAGAAATCTGGTTCAGAGGCAGAACAGCCGGGACTTGAACCCACCCACCAATGTAGGATGTTGGTATCACAAGGACATCTAAACCCCCTGTCCCACACACTGGGCCCCTCTCATATCTTTCTTCCTTTCATATTTTAAAATATTAATCAACCCCATTCTGCACTGCGCCCAGCCCCAGCCCAGGCACTCACCCCACAGGGATGGGCCCCACCGTCCACTGGAGCTCCAGGTGGCGCTGTCCGCGGTACAGGCGAACCACCTGGGAACACCAGGCTGAGAAGTTCTGGTGCACCTCCTGCACCAAGGGCGTCTGAGGACACACAGGGCAGAGGGCAGGGCTCAGCCCAGCCTTGGGCAGAGGGGAGGCGTGCAAATGCCCCCTGCTGTGAACCCTCCAGAAGCCTCCATCAGCGTCCACCCCAAAACTGCACAGGACTCCCAGCCATCACCAGGACCTGCCTGGATGTGATGCCCACACTTCCCCCTCAGCCCCTGCCCAGAAGTCTTGAGTGGGGCCCATATGCAGGCTTCCCACCTAACCTCCCCTCTCCTCCTCAAAGCTGAGTTCTAGCCTCGCACGTGGCCCTCTGCAAAAAACTACATTGTCCCAACTTCCCTGAGGCTATCATGGCTGGGTGACCACAGCCTGTCTCAGGGAAAGACATCAGAGTGGGGTGAGCAGCGATCTCTCCCCCTTTCCCTCTCCCACTGGTTCAAATGCAGATGGAACGGCTGGAGCCTGGGAGCCACGGTGGACCACGAGGAGCTAACTGTAGTGGAAGACAGTGAGAGTCTCACCGGTCCTGGACACCCAGTTGCCTGGTCAGCGGCCACATCCAGGAAGTGATCAACACACCATACACACCACACACACATCATACATTACACATCACACCACACAGCATATACACACACACTACACACACTATATACCACACACACCATACATCACACATCATACACACCACACAGCATACACACACACACCATACATACCACACACACACCATACATCACAGATCATACACACCACACAGCATACACACACCACACACACACCATACACACTACACACATCATACACCTCACACTACACAGCATACATCATACACAACATGTATACCATACAAACACCAGACACTACACACACATACATACACCATACACCATATACCATGCACACACTACACACACACCACACACCAGACACAATACACACCACACACACCAAACATCACACACAATGCACACCATATATTATACACACACCACACACACACCATACACACTACACACACTTCATACACATCATACACCACACACTACACAGCATACATCATACACAACACACACACACCATACAAACACCAGACACCAGACACACATCACATACACCATATACCATATACCATGCACACACTACAGACACTACACACGCCACACACCAGAAACAATACACACCACACACACTTATACCATATATACACCACACACATACACATCACACACCATACACACACCACACACACACACATACACACCATACACACATTACAAACAACACCACACACACACACCATAGACATATCATACACACCATACACCATATACCATACACATACACACCACACACCATAAACACACCACACACACACACAGGCACACCATACATACACCACACATGACACCTCACACACACACACACACCATACACACATCACACACATCATACACCATATACCATACACACACCACACACATACACACCATAAACCATGTGCACACCACACACCAGACACAATACATACCACACATGCCCACCAGACACAACCACAAGACACACCATGCACCACCGCAATACACATACACACCACACAAAACAGACACACCTAAACATATCTCATACACACACACTATCCACACAATAAACCCATGTACCAGACACATCACACACAAACATATCACACATCCAACAGGTTCACTACACACAGAACCACCACATACACCCACACCTCCACCACACACATACCATTCCCCCATTATAAACACACCACACCCCATATACACACAGCATACACATACATATACACATGCACACTACTCACCATCACAGCACACACACACACACACACACACACACGAGAACTGCATAGTTCTTTCAGACTCAGAACCCCTCTTATTGACGTCACACTGCATCCTGGGCTGGGGGCCGCCAGCCCCTCCCCCTGCCTGGCCAAGGGCCACCTCTGGCAGACTCTCTGGCACTTGGCCTCAGCCCTGGATGCTGCCCTGGCACCCCACGGGCCCCAGTGGGCTCATCCTGACAAGTGCTTGCCATGAACCTCTTGGAATCCCAATTCTGGGATTCTAGGGCCATCTCAGAGACTGGTCGCTACGGGGTTGAGGCCCAGTGTCTCCCGGTCACATCTGTGCCCCATTTTGGACCCTGGTTTTCATCTTCCCAGGTGGGGGATGAGGGGATTCTGTCCTGTCTCAGTGGGAGGGGCCAGCACCATGCCAGCTACTCTCACAGGTATATACCCGCTGCTCAGTTGTGAGGGGCCCTGCCTGGCCCCACCAAATGCATCCTGGCCTCTACCCACTCCTGAGGGGCCTCAGCCACCTGCTATCCATTCCCACCTGCTGCATTGACAGCCTCCTCCCTCACTGTCCACTGCCCTTGTACACAGCATCAGGATGGGCACCCTAAGAACCACATCATGGGCCTCCCATCCGGAGGCGTGCTGGTGGTGCCTGTCTACCCCTCGTCCTCTCTTGTCACCCCCGCCCTACCGCCTGGGGCAGCCCTGCCCTCCCATCTTCCACCCCCCACAAGAAACAGCTCTTCAGCTCAGCATGAGCTCCCTGCAGGCTCCCCACACCCCAGGGTACCAGAATCGCTAACTCACTGCAATTGCAATCGATCTGGATGGCGATGTCCAACCAAAGGCTTCTCACTCAGCGAAGGCTGACTTGAGAAGTGAGGAGGGGACCTGTGGGGTCACATGGAACACAGGCGCCTCACAGAGCCCATGACCCTGCAACCATAGCAATGCCCCCATGATGGGGGGAGGGGGAATGGCTCTGACCTGGCTGGGTGGTGGTGGGGAAGGCCTGTGGGGTAGACCTCCCAAGTCGCTCCTCAATCTGATGCACAGCCCTGAGGTTTTTTTTTTAAGATTTATTTATTTTGAAAGTCAGAGTCACACAGAGAAAGGGGAGGCAGAGAGAAAGGGAGAGACAGAGACATAGACAGATATCTTCCATCTGTTGGTTCACTCCCCAATTGGCCACATTGGCTGGAGCTGTGCCGATCCGAAGCCAGGAGCCAGGAGCTTCTTCCAGGTCTCCCACATGGGTGCAGGGGCCCAAGGACTTGGGCCATCTTCTACTGCTTTCCCAGACCATAACAGAGTTAGAGCTGGATGGGAGTGGAGCAACCGGGTTTCAAACCGGCATCCATATGGGATGCCAGCGCTTCAGGCCAGGGCATTAACCCACTGCACCACAGCGCCAGCCCCAGCCCTGGGTTTTGATGGAAAACACGAACGGACCACAGACACGCTCTCAGCATGCTCTCTCCTCCACTCCTTCCCAGGGCCTCTGATCTGTAGTTCTAGAAGTTTCCCAAGGGTGGGCATTTGGGTCCAGAGCTTCCAATGTCCTGGCATCCCATGCTGGATGGTGGAGTGCTTGGTTTGAGTCTGGGCTCCACTTTTGATTCCAGCCTCCTGGTAGTGCAGGTCCCCTAAGTGACAGGTGATCTGGGCCACCCCCATCAGGGACCTGAACTGCATTGCCAGCTCCTGGCTTCAGCCTGGCCCTGTCCATGCAATCAGACATCTGTGAAGTGAAATGGCAGATGGGACGTCTCTGTCTCTTGCTGCTCTCATATAAAATAATCTATTTTAAAAGATCTGGTTCTCATTTGTAGGTCTCTCAGTAGTGCCCCTCTGAAGCTGCCTGCAGCCAGGCGATGTGTCTGTGTCCAGCTCTGCTGCCAAGGGCCCGCAGTGGCTGGGGTCTGCTGTCCACTGGGCTGGTGACTCTGAGAAGCCTGCATGCAGCTATACACACGCCACAACTGCCCGTGCCCGTCTGCACACTGCACACTGCTACACACCTCTGGGTGCACACCGTTCAGACATGGGCACAACTGCTGAACACACACAAATCTCCCTGCCCCTGTACATGTGCTTGCACACACAACCCTATCTGCCACAACAGCATGGACCAGGGTGAACCCCAACAAGGCTTGGAGCCTGGCAGAACTGTCTGTGGCTCGGTGAGGGCCCTGGATGACGAGATTAGCAGCCACCTGAAGTCCCCGGCACAGCCAAAGCCAGGGGTCAGAAGCCGGCAATGGAGGACACGCAGTATCTCCCCATCTGCAGCAAATCACTGGGGACCTGCAGACTGGGAAGTGGATGGGGTGTTGGGGGAGGGGGGTTATGGACCCTGTCTCAGGCACCCGCCTGTTTCCTCATCTGTGACATAAGGGCCAACGGGTGGTGGTCTAGCCCCCCCCACCGGAGGCACAGCTGTCAGCCTCATGTCCTGCCTGCCACCCGACCTTGGGCCCCATGACTGCTGCCCCCTGCCCCAGCGTTGCCCAGCCCCAGGGATCCAGGTCCAGCCAGGCCAGGGCTGGCACCGCTCCCTCCCTGCTCCCTGTGCAGTCTGAGAGGAGGCTCTGTGTACTGGTGGCCCCTTCTGGCCTCGATGTCTCGTTGCTGCCATGACAGAAGCCACCTTTGGTGACCAGGGAGAGGGCCAAGTGTCAGAGGGCCAAGCTCAGCTCCACAGCAGGCTCAAGGGGACCTGGGGGAGGGGGCAGCACACACAGAAGCAGTGGAAGGTGCAAGCACCCTGTTCTGGACAGCACCGCCCCCTCCCCACCAGGGCACTCAGATCACAGCCAGCCAGGGAGGCCCCTTCCCTGCAGAGCCAGCAGCTCAGGCTGCCCAGGGCTCCTACAGCAGATGAGCCAAGGGTCCCAGGCACCATCAGCCTGAGGCAGGGCACTGGGCCGGAGCCCACCTTGTGCAGGCCCAAAGATGCCCCCAACCCCAAACAGGCCCATTGCAGACAAGCAGCAGGGCTGTTAAAAGGGTTTGCTGCAACCCATGACCAAGCCACTGGGCGTCCAGGGGACAAGAGGGCCAGTGGCCGGGCAGCCCAGGGGTGCAGGGGTCGGGGCCACACCAGAGCACCCCAAGTGCACAGGTGGTGGCAGAGCAGACGCTGGCTGTTCACTCCTTCAGGAAATCGTCTCCCTTAGGGACATCTGTACTTCCTGGAGATGGTTCAGGACCTGCTCACCACGTAAATGCCAGGACACAGCCACGAGGAAGACGGCCAGCAGGCGGGGACCCTGCCCCAGCAGGAAGCAGGAGAAGCAGCTTTAAAATGAGCAGCGCTGTCAACTCCTCTTTGGCTCCCCGTTGCCATAGCTGCTCCATGATCCTTCCTTCACAGGCTGAACAGTTTTGCTGCCCTCTCTACTGGCATCCATTGGGAACCTCTCCGAGGGCCCTTATCCAGTCCAGCACTGCAGCCAGGGCGCTGCCTACTGCCCAGCCCCCCACCCCCACCCCAGGGAGCGGGGTGTCCTCTCAATGGCTCCCTGGCACTTCTGGGGTGCTCTCTCATTCCCAGCTACCCAGAACCTGCCCCCCATTGCCCCCATGCCCTGCCTGGTTGGTTAAAACAACGTGCTCCCAAGGATAATGCAATCAAAAGCATGGGGCTTGCGAACTCTGCCTGAAGAAGAATCCACACCTACAGTAGGGCTCACAGGTGAGCACGTGCAAGGAGCAGTGGGCGTGCCTGGCGCCCCGCACTGTGGCTGAGGCCTCCCAGCCAGGCGCCCTCCAGTGCTGGGCCCACCCCTCCCCAGCACACAGCCCTGCCTGCCCAGGGCACAGGCGTCTCCCAACAGCACCACCTGGACATCAGGGTTTACGAGAGGGGCACTGCAGTGCTGACAGTGAGGACCAGGAGACCCCGCACTCAGCCTGCAGGGGCCTCTGTTATCAAGGGGTAGCTCCCTCTTCACCCTTTTCCCTGTGGGATAGGAGCTGGTCAGCCCTGGGGCCTCTAGGCTCAGGATGCCAAGTGCTCTGTGAGCTGTGTTGGATGAAAAGTATCCGAGCTTGGAGGCCTGGGTGACAGAGTGGGAGTGGGCAGAGGGGTAAGGGAGGCCTCCAGGGCAAGGGTGGCAAACACCCAGAGCCCTTTGCACAAGCCACGCTCCACAGTCAGACCTGATGCCTTCACAGCATGGTGAGCTTCGGCTGCAAAACAAGGGACCAGACTTGCATGGACCTCCAGTCATAAGCAACAAGAAAATGCCCAGCACAGGCCTGGGGCAGGTTCCGGCCATGGCCAAGACCACAAAGAGGACCCAGCAGAGAGGCAGAAAAGAAAGCCAGGAACTGCACTCCCTCCCGTGTCTCAGTCAAACCCCTCCAGCCTGTCCCCAGCCTGTGAGAAGGCACAAGCTGGCTATGACAAGCCAGGAGCTCATACTCGGCTCATGACCCACGTCCCATCCCCGAGGGGCATCTGGCCAGGCCCTCAGGCTCTGCCTGTGCCCGACAGCAAGGAGGGCTCTGGGTGTAGCCAGACAAAGCCTAGTAAGGGGTCACAGGGACTCCAAGTCACCCAGCAGTCCTCAGGAAAAGGGGCTTCGATGCCTTGAATGGGTGGGCGCCCAGTCCAGTGCCCAGGATGCAGACCCCTGTGTGAGGTTCCGGCCTGCAGAGGAGCAGGGGGTGGAAACCCAGTGAGGAGGTGAGCATGGAGCCTTGCTCCACATGTTCCCAAAAGCCAAAGACCCCCAACAGTGCAGAGTGACAAGGCCACAGCCAACAGAGGAGGGGACTTTGGGAGGCGCAGGGCTCACACGCGCAAGCGGAATCAGAGGCCAGGAAAAGGGTGGTGCCAACTGCTGAAGACCTAAGAGCCCAGGCTTTCCCTATTCGATGAGAGCTTTTATAAAAATCCCTGTCTTGGGCCGGCACTGTGGCTCACTTGGCTAATCCTCCACCTGCAGTGCTGGCACCCTGGGTTCTAGTCCCAGTTGCTCCTCTTCCAGTCCAGCTCTCTGCTGTGGCTGAGGGCAGCATAGGATGGCCCAAGTGCTTGGGTCCCTGCACCGCATGGGAGACTGGGAGGAAGTACCCGGCTCCTGGCTTTGGATCGGCGCAGTGCTGGCCGTAGCGGCCATTAGGGGATTGAACCAATGTAAGGAAGACCTTTCTCTCTGTCTCTCTCTTTCTCATTGTCCACTCTGCCTGTAAAAAACAAACAAACAAACAAACAAAAAAAGGAAGACCTTTCTCTATGTCTCTCTCTCACTTTCTAACTCTGTGTGGCAAAAAGAAAAAAAAAATCCCTCTGTCTTGGGGCTGGTGCTGTGGCTTAGCAGGTAAACCCTCCGCCTGCAGTGCCTGCATCCCTTATGGGCGCCAGTTCCAGTCTCAGCTGCTCCACTTCCAATTCATCTCTCAGCGCTCTGGCCTGGGAAAGCAGTAGAAGATGGCCCAAGTGCTTGAGCCCCTACACCCAAGTGTTCCCACCCCAGCCTGAGGCTGCAGGCCCTGGGGCACGTTGGGGGCTGGAGTCTTGGGAAAGTCCAGCATGGTCAATGAGGGGCTCCCTGCACTTTGGCTGCACCACACCGAAGCCCGGCTTTCCTCCTGGAGTTTGGATTTGTGCATGCCCAGCCCTCGGGAGAAGCCCTGGACACCACAGCTCCCACAAGGGTCCCTGGCTGATGTTTCACTCGTGGGGGTCACAGCTTGGGATGGGGAGGACCTGTGACCCTTTGGGAGGGGAGGGGATGTCCCTGCACACTGGGGCCTGTTGTCCTCGAGTCAACCCGTGCACTTCCCTCCCTGCCCATCCTGCTTGGCACCTCTCACTGTGACATACCTTAGCCAGGAGTCCTCCTTAGCAAACTG